TTTCTGCCAAATCAGATGTTAAACCTCCCATAAATTGTCAGATTAATGATCACTGCTTACAGAATGGTTCAGGTAAATTTAACCTCTGAAACTTTTTAATATTTTAAATGAAAAATAATTTCTTTTCAATTACTAACTATGTGAAGGGAAAAAATTGTTAAGAAGTGATTTTTTTTTTCAAGTGCTATTTAAATATAATCAGGTTTCAAAAATATTTCGGAGACCACAAGTAAGTGATTTCTGGCTCACTTTTAGGTTTGCTTGTAAAAGACTCAGTCCAAAACTTAGAACCTATAGGTTGAGTCTTTAGATATAATAGGATCTTAATAGTTACTTTATGTTTAAAGGTCACAAACCAAGAAATGTCTTATAAGAACAGCAGACACTTAGAATACGGGGCTTACTATGTGCAGGCGATGTTTTAAGCATTCGACACATAACTTATTTACCTCTCACTTCCCTATGGAGTGGGCTCTTACTGTGATTCTGTTTTATAGACAAGGAGACTGAGGCACAAAAAGATAAAAGTATCCTGCCAAAGACTTCAGTGTTGGTAAACTTGAAATCTGGGGTTTAAACCCAGAGTTCAAGCTCTTTCCGCAGCCTTACTAGTCCCCAGGAAGAGCTGGTCTACCCTGCTGGCCTAACACTCTTAGAGAGCACACCGCATTCTTCTTCTGTTGTTGGCAAAAGGGATGTTGCAAATTATTGAGAATGAAAACATTTAGAAGCTCCATTCCCCACTAGTCTGGGAAACTTAGTTGTCTTTGGAGCAAACAGATGTGCAATAGCAGTTAAATATTAAAGGAAAATAGAATCGTGTCATAATTAGTTTAATTGAATGGTTCTTAAATTTTATTTTTAATGTATGTTTGTCTCATAGCAGTTAATCCAGGTGGAATTCTTTTAAGTTTTAATGTGTTTACAAAGAAAAAACTGAATATATTGTTGAACAGTGACTTATGAATGAAATAGGATCTTCCTACAAGTATGTTCTTAAACATCTCTGACACAATTTTTATAATATGTTTGTGTCACACTCACCTACATAAGTCACATCCCAAAGTTGGGCGGCAGGGCAGGGAGTGACCTCACTGATTTAAGGAGGTTAGTGTATTTGTTTATGTGAGACAACAGAGCATACAAAAACAACAGCAGTCGGGTCAGTCCCTGATAACCCCCCATTGGTGAAACTATAATTGAAGAGGAAAAAACTTATTATTTTTTAAATTGCCATGTTTAGTACATTGTAGGTGCTTTTTTTGGTCTGTTTGCTATGTTTATTTTGGATGAAGAAAGTAGTTATAAAATTTAAGATACTTTTTTATATATGTATATTGTTGGGGATTCATTGAGGGTACAAAGAACCAGGTTACATTGATTGCTTGTGTCAAATAGAGACCCTCCCATATAGTGTTCCACCCCCACAAGGTGACCCCCACCCCTTTGACCCCCCCACCGTGTGCTAGGTCATTAATTGTTCTCATGTCAGAATTGAGTACATGGGATTCTTGTTTCTCCTTTCTTGTGATGCTTTGCTAAGAATAACGTGTTGCACTTCTGTCCAGGTTAATACAAAAGATGTAAAGTCTCTGTCTTCCATGGTATACATATAGCACAGCTCATTAATCCATTCCTGGGTTGGGGGGCTTTTAGGATGTTTCCACATTTTGGTGATTGTAAATTGAGCTGTGATAAACAGTCTAGTCGAGTGTCCTCCTTTTTTTTGAGTCTTACTTTGTCACCCTCAGTAGAGTGCATGGTTTCATAGTTCACTGCAACCTCAAACTCTTGGGCTTAAGTGATTCTCTTGCCTCAGCCTCCCAAGTAGCTGGGACTACAAGCACCCTCCACAGTGACAGGCAATTTTTAGAGAACAGGTCTCTCTGTGGCTCAGGCTGGTCTTGAACTCGTGAGCTCGGGCAGTCCACCTGCCTACGTTTCCCAGAGTGCTGAGATTACAGTTAAGATACGTTTTGTTAAAATAGAATCATGCTACTTACTTTTAAAACTTTAGAAGTAGATATAATATTCAAAATATTTGAAAGCATTTTTATGTATATTATTAGTATCTCTTAAATTTAAATGAGTCATTGGTTATTCTTTCCCATCTTATGTAAAACCTTCTAAATAGGTTATCTTAAGAGTAGAAGTGAGATTATTTTTCGTGCAAGATTAATAATTTTGAATATTGGGTGGTGCCTATGGCTCAATGAGTAGGGCGCCGGCCCCATATTCCAAGGGTGGCGGGTTCAGGCCCAGCCCTGGCCAAGCTGCAACAAAAAATAGCCGGCGTTGTGGCAAGCACCTGTAGTCCCAGCTACTTGGGTGGCTGAGGCAAGAGAATCACCTAAGCCCAGGAGTTGGAGGTTACTGTGAGCTGTGTGACACTGCCATGGCACTCTACCAAGGATGATAAAGTTGAGACTCTGTCTCTAAAAAAAAAAAAATAATAATAATTTTGAATATTTGTGAGTTCTGGTTCTTCCCAAGTATGGCCTTAGCAGAGCCTGGGCCTCCAGCTCGCTGTTTCCTGTAGAGTGTTCTATGGAAGGTGAAGCCTATGGCAGGACTCCTCGGGTGGCACGGTGGCTGATGTGGGGGCTTTTAGAGGTAGACCAGCAGCATTGACAACCCATCTCTGCCTCCTGGTGTCTGCATGACTGCAAATTTCCCTAACCTCATTAAGCCTTGGTTTCCTCATCTTTAAAATGGAAATAACACTGATAGCTACCCATAAAGTTGCTTGGGGAGTGAATCAGATACCATCTGAAAAATACTTAGCACAGTGTCTTAAATGGAGCGAGTGGATGTTACTATTATTTTAAGAGATTTGTGGCAAATAAATTTGGGAAATTCCAGGTTAAACAAAGTCAAATCAATTGTTTTACTTCTGGATTTAGAGCCTTTAATATAATCATACCCTGTAAATCTCCAGACAGAAGAAGAAAGGATGAAACATAATCTCAAACTTGTTAGACCATAGAACCTTTTATTCCTCGTGAGATCTTTTGGGAGAGTATTTTGTGGAGCTAACGTGGGAATTGCTGCTGTGATCAGATTCTCTGTCTAGGATTATTTTGCTGTGAAAAGCTTTCTGCTTAATCTTTATGTAAGACCTAATAAGGGAATAATTCTGTGACATTAATAGAGGAATCAAAAATTGTTTTTGCTATTCCTGGCAAATATATTTTATAACTTGATAGTTAATCGGGCTGGTTATTTTGAGGAAAGACTAGATAATAAACAGGTGCATGTGCGTAACTTTAGATTGTTGCATTGATATATGCCAGTAAGCTTCATCCCTCTTGAGACTCCTCTGTGACAGTCCAAGCCCTAATGAATTAGCCCCAAACTAATCCATTAGTTTTACGCACCTAATGAATTCTATGAAAGTATTATTCTGGCCAAGTCTTACAATTAAGAGATTTCCCTGGATTATACTTTGCCTTGTTTATGTTGTTCTATAATGGATATGCTATTTTGTACTACTCCGTCATTTTTGCCTAATATCTGATTTTCAGGTCTAGATAGATGCATTATTTCTAAAATTGGGTATCAGAGTGATGTTTTCTGTAGGAAGATGTCACCTAGTTTCATACCATAGGTACTCTTCATGTCACTTCATTCATAACTTTTTCCTGTGTAAATATTTTTAATTAATAAATAATTCGTGTGATATAAGCAGAGTGTTCTTATGTGGCTACCAGCACATTTATTAAAACTGGGAAACCCTATGAATTGATTGGCAGTGAACTTTTCGTTAGTCCACAATGAAGAGTGTGTGTATAATGTAGGTGTCTGTGTGCCTGGGTATGTTCATCTGTGTTGGTAGAAATTGGTCTGCTGGTCTTTCTTAAGAAGAGTATGTTCTTGCTGTGTTACTGTTCTGACAGGGTCCTTTGCTTTTGGAAATTATGAGTGATATCAATGTTTTTCCTCTTGCCCTTCCCCATATTTCTTCTTGGCAGTATAAAATTTGACAATTTATGTTTGATCATCAATATTGTTTTTAGATTGAATTGGTTTGTGAAAACCAAAACTCTGAGAACCTCTCAGTAGAAAGAACCTTAGCAGTCTATCATAGTTCATAAGGACTTTTTCATCATGTTTATGCTTAGCATTATATTTAAAATAAGGAAGAGTGATATTACTGAAGCAGTTTAAATTTTCTTGACAGATAAGAAGATTAGTAATTTTTTTTTTTTTTGAGACAGAGTCACATTTTGCCACTCTCAGTAGAGTGCTATGGCATCATAGCTCACAGTAACCTCAAACTCTTGGGTTCAACCCAGCCTGGGCCATTGAACCTTTTTTTTTTTTTTTTTGAGACAGAGTCTCACTATGTGGCATCACAGCTCACAGCAACCTCAAACTCTTGGGCTTAAGCAATTCTCTTGCCTCAGCCTCCTGAGTAACTGGGACTACAGGTACCCTCCACAACACCCAGCTATTTTAGAGATGGGGTCTCTCTCTAGTTTAGGCTGGTCTTAAACTTGTGAGCTCAGGTGATCCACCTGCCTCAGCCTTCCAGAGTACTGGGATTACAGGCGTGAGCCACCACACCCAGCCAAAGATTAGTAATTGTGATCTGTAAATTTTTGCTCAGAAGGAAAAATCTTACTATAATCAAATTGTTGTCTAAGAAAAACTGTTCAGTGTTAATTCAAATTTCATAAAGACCTGCCATCTTCTGATTCACTTTCCCCAGGGCTTACACACCTCATTGGATCACCTTTTCTCCGGGCATATATGCATGGATTTTTCATGGACATAAGACTCTATCACAAGGTAAATAAAAAAACACTGTTAATTTAGGCGACTGATGAGCAGTCTATAGCCATTTCTTGTCTGCTTGCACCTTCATAGAAAATACTTTAAGATTTTTGTGGGATCTGCTTATTCTTTGGCATAATAGGATATATATAAAAATGATGTCAATATATACCATTGTGTTATTTTTAAAATTTTTTTTCATTTTGAAAAGGTGAAATTGATGGTAAATCCATTTGCTTATGAAGAATATAGGAAAGATAAAATACGGCAGAAGATAGAAGAAGCACGTGCCCAGAGAGTCCAATTAAAGGTAAATGGACTTAACCACTGAATTTAGCAGAGAAGAGTACTTCATTTTCATTTTGTGTATTAGTCTAAAGAAATCAGGCATTCTTTTTTAAGCTTTGCATTTATTAATAAAATATTAATATTGATTAATATTTTGGGTATATCTTATGTGTTAGTTTTATCATTATAAACTTTGTGCTAATGGTATTATTGGAAATCATACTATAATGACATAGTGTCACTACCACAAGAAAATATGATGACAGTTTCAAATGGGTTTTGAGTTTGGGGAGTGTTAGCGCTTTACTGATCCTCATTTCTTACTGGCCTTTGGGCATCTCATGCTCTCTGGATCGTGAGAAATAGTCATTAGACCATTTGTCAGGAAACAAACTACAATAGTTATATTGGTAGAGAGAATTTAATGTGAAGAATTATTAACCGGGTATTAGAGAACTGAAAAAGCAAAACCACTAAGTGAGTAAGAGTCGTTAACTGCAGAGAGCAGCCACCTCTTCAGTGCTGGGAACAGGAAAGAGGGGGCACTGGGGACTTTGAGGCACAGGGACGATATTCCTGGGAGTGCTGGAAATTGCAAACCAGCACTCACCACTGCCGCCGGAACTGAACAAAGAGCTGTTGTCCTGTGATGCCAACCCACACAGCAAGCAGACAGGACAAGCAAGTCCTGTCCCCTTCTCCTGCCTGCAGTCTCTCTGGCCACCCTCTTGATTAGGTTTGATCACCAAATGATGCCAGTATTCAGAACTGAACATGTAACATATTACATATGTGCGTGTACACATACGTACGTATGTATAAACACATATACTCTTTTAGTACAAAAGACTAATGTTTTCCGCAGTTACCCTTGGCACTTTTCCTTATTCCAGACTATCTCTTAAAAGTGATGAAAGTGCGTGTGTTGCCAGGGGGAGTCTGAGCAAAGGAGCCCTTTTGCCCCAGCTCTTTATAGTACTTGTCAAAGTTGTATTTTACTTACTGTAAAATGGAACCTAAAATGCTAAGTGGAAGAGAACAATAGACAGCGTATGACTATCCTGAGAGCCGTCAGACTCCCATCTAGGACTCCCTTTGGAAATTTGGTACTCGGGAGCAGGAAATAGTGTAGGTAACATATTGGTAGCCAGAGGCTGTAATAACCAAACGCTTTGGCCTCTTGTCAGTCAGTGAGGGGTTCTAGACCCTTTCATGTCTAATGTGGGCCAAATGCAGCCTTTCTCAGCTGCTTCTGTGCTGAGGCAGGTAGGGTGTGGCATGTCCTCACAGCAGTAAGCCACAGTTACCATGAGGCCCACCTGACAGCATCTCTTGTGTCTCTATTTTGTACTCTGGAAATAAAGAAATTAAGGAAAATAAGAATTAGTTACCTATTTATGAAATTATGTTCCTTACAGAACTGCTAACCTTTAAGGGTAAAATATAGCTATCTTAACTTAGTACAGCCTTTTCTCCTTTGTATATTAGAAATTGCCGAAAGTTAACAAAGAGCTGGCGCTTAAGTTAATTGAGGAAGAAGAGGAGAAGCAAAAATCCACATGGAAAAAGAAAGTCAAGGTAAGATTTTATGCATCAGAAAAGATTGATGAGTTTTTTCTACATTTTTGTGATAGTAACATATCTTTTTTTATTGTTTGTTTTTATAAAACACGGGTAGTTTTCGTTTTTGTTTGTTTCTTCCATTTATGAGATAGCATATGCTCAATATAGGAATTTGGAAAATGGAACATCAAGAAGACAGCCACCCGCACACTCCTCTACCTAGAGAAAAACATCATTAGTATTTTAGTGAATTTCCTTCTTGCCCTATTTTTCTTAAACTAAAAAGTATAATGGCAAGAGAGTCTTCTACGTGTAAAATATTTCTTCTAGTTCTATAAAATAACACAGGTGGTTTCCCATTTTGTTAAAAAATGTTTTCTAAATATTTTTAATGGTTGCATATTCTATCTTATGGATGTATTATAATTTACTTAATCCTTTCATTGTTAACTATTTATGTTATATGAGATTTATTTATAACTCCAGAAGTAACCTCATTTCATTCAGACTTGGCGTTCTTAGGAGCACGCAGGCTGATGTAACTGCTTGTCCTTGTGTACCAGTGTGGAAATAGCTGAAGATCGGCCATAAGATAAATACGGGTTAGCGCTTCATCTACTGATACTGTCCAGAGACGAGATTTTTCTGATTTTGCTAGGTATATGAAGACCTCCTAGGTCCTTGCTAATCCTGTTTCTCCATCTGCTTAGACCAGGCAGGCAGACAGCCAAACTTGGTTGTGTACTGCGGTGAGTTGTAGCAGTCTGATCTCCCGTGAGAGCTTGCAGGACCCAACTGTTTGAGTAGGGGCTAATCTTGTAGTTTTGGGCCAGCTGTGTGGTGCTCTGGGGTGGCTTTTGGTTTGATTATTCTTTCTCTGTTCTCTGATTTTTAACCAGGTAAGTGAGCTCTTTTTGTGCTTAGTTTTGTTTTACTTTCTTCATAGTACACAGGGACTTCAGCTAGAGAGTCTTGTGTGCTTGTGCTCATTGGTCGTGTAATCTTGGTGTAATTGCTCAGCTTCGCTGGGTCATGGTTTGTTCCTGTGTAACATGCAGGGTCTGGATATGGGCCTTCTCTGGGCTGTTATTCTGAATGGATTCAGACTCACTGCCCCTCTTGTCTCTGCTTCCTCAGGCTCTCCCTATGTCCCTTCCTCCTGGTCTATTATATTCTTTTCATATGTTATTTAAATCTTAATTTTTGGAAGCCTTCCTAAGTAAACAGACAGATGGCTTTTATCTTTCCATTTTTGTGACATGAGTAGTATACCAATGTTGAAATGGTTACTTAAGCTTATTAGTATCTAAATTTATGTCTGTGTGCTGTGGCTGTGCACTGTACTAACATACACTGATGTGTATCTGCAAGTGTGTGAGGTGCAGGTGCCCTGCTGTGTCGACTCAGCAAGCTCACCTTGTTCTTCACGGTAGCCAAGGCTAAATCCGATTAAGGAGTTACCTTTTCAGCTTCATAAGGTCACTTTACAAGGTAATTGGAAGTGATCTTTGGATTTGCATACCCTAAAGCAGTGGTTCTCAACCTGTTGGCCACAATCCCTTTGGGGGTTGAACAACCCTTTCACAAGGGTCGCCTAAATACATCCTGTATATCAGATATTTACATTATAATTCATAAAATTACAGTTATGAAGTAGCAACAAAAATAATTCTTTTTTTTTTGGCCAGGGCTGGGTTTGAAGCCACCACCTCTGGCTTATGGGGGCGGTGCCCTACTCCTTTGAGCCACAGGCACTGCCCACAACAAAAATAATTTTATGAACCTAGTTTCTTGTACCCTCAATGAATCCCCAACAATAAATAATAATAATAATAATAATTTTATGGTTGGGGATCACCACAGCATGAGGAACTGTATTTTTTTTTTAAGAGGCAGAGTCTTACTTTGTTGCCCTCGGTAGAGTGCTATTGTGTCACAGCTCACAGCAACCTCCAGCTCTTGGGCTTAGGTGATTCTCTTGCCTCAGCCTCCCCAGTAGCTGGGACTACAGGCACCTGCCACTACGCCTGGCTGTTTTTTGTTGCAATTTGGCTGAGACCATGTTCAAACCCACCACCCTTGGGTATATGGGGCCAGGGCCCTACTCACTGAGCCACAGGTGCCGCCCGAGGAACTGTATTAAAAGGTCATGGCTTTAGGAAGGTTGAGAATCACTGCCCTAAAGCTTCAGCAGGTAGAAAGGAGAGCTAATTTAGGCTGTAGATAAATGCATTCCGAGCTGTGTTTTATGCTGGAGTCCTTATTAGCTAATAGAGGACAGTCAAGTTAAAATTTAATTTTGCTGCTTTGTGTACGGTGTTCCAGATTATAAAGATGATTATCCTGGGAAATAGCTCCCATCCCACACGCAGAACCCTCCACAGAAACCTCTCAGTGCATTCCCTGCTGGGCCAACTGGCCATGCCCCTGCACCAGCCCACTCACTTCACTGCCGCCTACCCTCGGGAAGCGCTGGGAGGCCTCAGCTCCAACTAATTGAGGGCAGACCACTTTTAAGAAAGGCAGGGGAAGGGGAGGGAGGTGGGCAGGGAATAAACCCAAACTGACCCTGCCAGTCCATTCCAGTGATCTTTCCTTTCCCTGACCCTCTTTTCTTTATAGACTTTTGTTGAGGTCAGGGGCAGCCAGAGAAGATTTAGAGTGTGCTGTAGTGCCAGATGGTAGAGATGACCTTGCAATTTGAACACACAAAGCGATCTTCATAGTCCGGAGGGGAAATTATTATTGTTCTGTGCCTTTAAAACTTTTTGTTGAAACTTTAAAGAGTCTTTTACTGTCCATTATAAGTGTAATGAAATGAAAAAATAGGAAAATTAGGATCTATTTAGTAAACTATAGTCCAGAATATTAGAAACAAAGCATAATTTTTTTGTGGTGGAAAAGTGTGTAGGAGTATTTGGAACAGTGCACAGTTTATTCTCATCCTAAATTTAGGATTCAGAGCCAGCATTTTCTCTGCCCCAGCAAATTGTCATACTTCTTCCTATGGGGACGTACTTCCACTGTTTTATTCTCCATCCTTTTGATATCATGCAACGTCTCAGAATTCCTTTAATGGACAGTTTTTTGCCAGTGTCGCTTCCACTGAGACATTGTCCTTCTTTTTGTCGTAACTGCTTTCCTCATTGATTTCGAGATCCTTACACACCAGCCTCCGACTGCGGATCTATAGTCCCTCCAGTGGCAGCATCCACATTCCCAGGGGCAGCTCATTTTTCTATAACTCCCTTTAAAATGTGACTCAGATTTGCCCCCTCTTCCTGTCTCTCTCTCTCTCTCTTTTTTTTTTTTTTTTTTTTGGCTGCAGTTCTTTTTTGGTTAGTTTTTTCTTATCCGTTTTTATAAAATGTCACGGGTTTATCTTTGGGATATAAAGAGGCATCACAACACGAATGTGCTTCTTGTCTGTGTGAGCTGACTGGGAAGTTCAGTTCACTGAGCATCACCCAGCACAAGCGTAACGATAGGATTGGCCCCGACCATGTCACACGTCCGTTATTTCCTGAGCTATTTGTGGACTGAAGAGCTAGCAGCAGAGTTGTGCTTTATGTAAACACTCACAGTTGTTGAGCAGAGGTGATTCCAATTTGAGCTGTGCTATCGGGGCATCCAGGGTTAACTACATCATGGTTGCTCGTTCCTGTCGGCCCTGTACGAGCACTTGCCTTTGTGTTATCTCCAGTCAGATCTGTGTTCATTGGCCTTCACTTTTGCTGCTACGTAGTCTCTGCCGATCAAGACGGTATTCATTTATTTTAGAACCTCTTCTTGGGTCATCCTGTAAAGAATTGTCAGGCTGGGACCTGTTTCTACTGCAAGTGTGAGGAATAAGAACCGTGGAGAGTCCTGTCTTCTTTCATCAACAGAGGTTTCTCTTCAGCCGTTCACAGCTGGAAATGCTTTGTAATCATGTCACCTGATAATTTGTCACAAATTCTGCTAGAGAACAGTATTTATAAATTGTGTCCCTAACTTGGTTTTTTGGTGACTTGCTGGCTCAAGTCAAGCCCTATTTTGAGTTCCATTTCATTCCAGAAATATTATGCTGATATAGGGTCTTCTGAAAAAAGTTTGACAGTTTTATCTTATATAAAATGAAGGCCTTAAAAATTATTCCTGAATTAATGAAAGAATCCTTCATCATAATTGTAAAGAACACTTGAAAGAATTGTTATATTCATCAGCAGGTCATTAGTCTTGCCTTTGAACTCAGCTCCTCAAAACCTCAAAAACTTTACTAGCTTTGAGATCTCCTGATTTGAAAGTCTGTATCTTGCAGTTTGTTCTGCTTTGGCTGCAACTAAAAGTAATGGAGACAGACAGCAACATGTATTCCCAAATATTGCTGCCGCTGATAACATAGTAAAAGTGTAATATGATGTTTACTGTACAGTCGATGTTGAACCTGAAATGGGAAAGGACCCATCACTTAGTGTCAATAAGCATTATTTGGACATTATCCAAACTCAGAAATGTGGTGATACTGATGCTAATTAAAAACTATTTCATTTATTTTTTCAAAAAATACATATTGAACTCCCACTATGCACAAACAGGTTTGAAAGGCGTGAGTACCTGTGATCCATTTGACCTGTAAGAATTTAAGTTTTGGTTAGAGCTGTATTTCCTGTAAGTGTCATTTTCCACATTAACCATTTTTGCCAGTTCTTTACTGTTGTCTTCAAGTCTTGTATGAATGTACTCTTCTTGGATTCTCAGCAGCTCAGGCAGGGCTGTGTGAAGTCTCTGGGCCATGTGTGTTCTGTAGCTGGAAAATCATGGCAGAGATTTCTGAATAGCCTCAGGAATTATTAAATAGCAGTAAGAGCTTATATTAAAGTAGTGATTCATCTCTTTAGGGAAAAGATATAATTATGTGCAGATACTCTGGCTTGGATCAGGTAAGTGTTGGGGGGGGGGATTGTTTTGTTTTTTTGAGCCAGAATCTTGCTCTGTTGTCCAGGCTAGAATGCCATGGCATCAGCCTAGCTCAG